ACACCCCAGGATGGGTCATCGCTGCCGTTACTGCAGTGACTTGCTCTGACACCGATGTCAGGTTTATGTTAGTGTCTTGTCGGGTGGCACCAGCGCCCCGTGACACGTCCGCAGAAGGAACAAGGTCTCAGCAATCGGAAATGCAGATGAAATTTGTCGTGCGGATTATGCAGCGTGCGGATTAGCGGCAGGCGATAAGCGAGGCTGCCGTTTGTAAGCACTGCAAATCCCTGGGCTGCACCGAGATGCTTTTGGGAGTCCCCCCTCCACGCTCTGCTGCTCGGAGAGCCCAGTGAATCCTGCTTGCCTTGTTGGGACTGCCCTGCTGCAGCGTTTGCAGGCCCGGGGTCACCCGCAGCAGCTCTGGAGAAGTGCTCTGGGCAGGAGTCGCTTTGCACCACAGCCGTGGTCTCCATCCCATCCACTTCCCCCAGCCAAGGCCGTGGCTCAGGTCTGTGCTCCGTGGCACTCAGTTACCTTCTGGTGTGCTTGGGCACAGGACATAGGACCAGGGAGGCAGTCCCCTAAGCTCGTGCAAGCTGCAGATTTGTAAAAACAAACTGGCACTGGAGCGTTAAGCGCAAGGAGCACCTTCAGGGTGTGATGTTTTAGGGAAAGCTTTTGGAGACAAACCACTGGGTTTGGGGTTCAGACACCCAAAACACTGCACTTCACCAGTTAAAGTTACAAGTTCATCAGCTGAACCCCAAGAACAGCCCGTGCACGTGCTGCCGGCACCCTTGCAAAGGCGAAGGGAGTTTGGGTAGGTGACAGAGACGCAAGCAGACGTTTTATCCAGGTCGGCAGCAGGTGGTGCGGAGGCGAGCCCTGCTCCTGGGCTCCGCGGCAGGCAGCACCTCGCGGAGCTGTGGGGACGCGGCCGCCCGGTCCCCATGTGCTGTCGGACCCCATCGTCCCTGCGGGAGCCGGACACAAGCTGAGGATGATGAATACCTCTGCCCATCCCTCTGCCCCGTCCCCGCTGTGTCACTAACTCCACCAAACCACATCCCCGCTGTGTCACTAACTCGGCCAAACCACCTCCCTGTCTTCCAGCCACAATGAAAGGCGGAACACGTTCCTGCACCCAGTGACGGGACAGATCCCGGAAGAAAACTCAAGATTTGACTTGCAAAAGTAGGTTGGCTTTGGGCTCCCTTGATTTCAGGACCTGGGAGTGGGTTGCAGTGGGGGACCGAGGTGGGCTGGGGGTCTGGAGCGGGACCGGCACAGTGAGGAGCCGGTGATCCAGGGCCAGTTTCGGGGTGGATGGAGAAATGCAGCTCTGCTGCCAGCAGCTTTCTCCTCCTGCCCTCTGTGCTGCAGACCTACCTTGGACATGTCCAGCAAAGCAGGC